TATTGACGATAATCATGGTCAATTCAAGTTAGTAACGTCATGTACTCAATAGTAAGAGAGAATAAGGTATACAAAAACGGAACCAAAAGGCAAACTAGCGAACGTCAAACACGTCAAGCTTCAAACTTTACTTAAGCAGCAGTAGCATATGTCTTAACCACTTAATCACTATGACGACCGTTAAATGTCCCCATAATTTTTATCAACCTGCATCTTTTGAAGACCTTGTTCATCGATTGACGACTTCCTGCACGTAAATCGTTCTAATGGGAACAGTTCCTTGAATATCGAATCAACTGCGATATTTTAATACCAATTGCTGTGGATGCAGCGTGGTTGCTATCTAGAAATTGAAAATTCACTACAGCTAAATTTAAATCATCACGCGTTTCATACAGCTTGGTGGAAAGCAGTCCATGTTGAATTGGTTGTAGGAAAAGACAGAAAAAACCGGCTAATGTAGAAGAGTCTGCTGTGTCTTGAAAATTTAATAACTTCTAGATGTGGCATAGCAAGGACTTTTGGATTTATACATAATTGAAAAATATGATTGTTGTTTGAATTTCATATGTTGCGGGTGTTCGGGATTACATAATGTGTCAACCGTGATATATCATATTAGTCAGTTAAGTTCATGTGGCCATCTTCTCTAAACTTGAAATATGAAAACGTATTCCACGTAAAGTGATCTTGAACCCTTTTCCTAACAAAGCTACATGTGGGTCCCAAATAACTTGTTCCCTTTTTTATTACAGATAGAAAACTGGAGAGATGAAATTCATCCCGATGGCGCCGCAAATCTCAGCGGGTTTGATGTTGCACTTAACCGAATTTCCGTCAATATGGAGTGGCACAACAAGTACTATGAACGGGTGGCCCAATGGCTCGAAAACTACGTCGGATCCGGACCGTAAAGTTTGCAAACATTTTGCGAGCATTCAACAAGAAATTGAAATTTCAAATCCGTAAATATCAATAGTACTGGAACGTGATATCGCAATCAAATTTCCAGGATTCCATATCGACAAATACATGTAAACAAGTGTGTAGACAACGTGGCGGTGTGGATATATCATTACAAACACTGCTCGAGTCCAACTGTAACTGCGTGCTTTTTAGCGAAGAATGGCAAAACCCTCACTGAATCCTGTCTAATGAGGGTATCTTAATATCCACACCGTATATAGAGAGACCAATATATCGTGACCATATTATCACATCGAATGATTCATTAGGTCATATTTGATTATAAATTGATTTTGAAATATATCCGTATCAAGCTCAAGCAAGAAAACACGTAATAGTGTTGGGCGTATGTCCATAATGATTGCCTGAAGTATATATATATGGTAGAGGTAGGTAGAGATTGTAGTGTGGTGTATATATAAACATTATGTATTGAAGAGCTTACCTAAGCTGTCATAAGACTCTCTGTATACATCGGCCATTAGTTTATAATTTGACCTGAATGCGAACACTTGCAAGATTTCTTTTCGTCTTTTTTCATAAAAAGTTATTCCTGTTTAAGAAAGACTGTTAACATTACATCATATTAACCATGATTTAAATTCAACATAAGCGTTTCCCTGGCTCCCAATCAGCTTTAAACGGTTGCTTTTGTTTTATTATTGAAACACTCGCTAACATTTGGTTTTGGTTGTTTATAAGGGGAATGAAATATTCACTTCGATGTGAAAGATTCGCTTCACCATTAAATCATCCTTATACATAATAAAACTTTGTTGTTTTCACTAATATATACCATAATTTTACTTTGCTTACTCAATGTCTTCTCCCACAGTATCACCTTGACAAATAGTTCTAATGACCCTACCTTCATTCACCATTAATCACGTGCAAACACTCGTAACATGTGACATCTTCACTGAATAGCCAATCAGCTGATGTGGTCGTTATTATCACTGCTACTCATTGCATACCTTCAGTGGTCGTTGTTGGTGTAACTAGTCCTTTTTCAGCGGTTATTTATGTTCTCCATCTGTTCCTTGTTGTTTGTGGAAATGAACAAGGCATTTTACCGTGATTTGACCGAGTATTTAACACGTCTCTTTTCTAGATGGTCAGCTGTCCACGTGCAGTTTAGTCATGACCATTTTGTTACGATTGCTTTGGGGTTGAAACAGGCGGGCTTTCGGTTTTTTTATTGTACAGGGTTAGGGGATGCTCAGCTCACATATTCCGTTGTCTTATCCAGTCTTGCCTTCCTTACCGATCCCGGGATGGTCGTAGCTTTACCTTCCTGTCCTTCGGTCAAGGGTGGTAGCGCATGTCTTTAGAGAGCCAGTTTGGCCCGTTTTATTGTCACTCCACACTCCCATTCTCTTGTGGGTTTGGGTACAACTCCGTAAACATCCAAGTTGGAAATCTTGGGATTTGGTTTCTACAACTAGGGCTGGCTAAAATGATAAGGGTTTGTTGTCCGTAGCCTTGACCATTAGACATTTGACATCTAAGCTTCCTTTTATGGCCTCTTTCAGAGTGTTTCTCTGGAGATAGGTCCCTATTTCTCACTTTCTGTTACGACTGCCTAGGACCATTACGTCACAGTAGGTCATTGGACAAGACGATACATGTTTCGAGAGTGCATGACAAGTGGAAAGATTGGTTTATCCTTCAAATCAGATTCCGTCAAAAGCTGACTTCATTACTCTACTTATTTATCGTTTGGCCAATTTGCCTGAAAAACACATAACCTCAACATAGTAGACTGTTATTTAGGACAGAGTTACGTTTGCTACGAACTGGACTTGAAAAGCATCAGCTGCCTTGACGCTATCTCATTTCTTTTACCTGGTATTAGCTTGACTGTTCTCCATCATGAGGAACTGTCCCACAAAAGGTCACTTCCTTTCATGGTTGCTGACAGCTCCCTTCTATTGGGGGGTACCAAATTTTCTGATCAGAAGGACTTAATAAGGTTCAGTTAACAGCGTGGTCGTACATTGCATGGTTCTGATCCCAAGGGCAAACCTCGCTGAAGAATTGACAGTGGCTAATGGAAACATGGTAAGGAGAAGAACCCTCCAGGATTCAAGAAGAAGAGTTCTTTATCCTTTCTCCATCATCGTTATCATGACAACACAGTCGTCTCGAAAGGTGGATGACATCCTTCACGAATACGGAAATTACAAAAGACGTTTGGGCGATCTCCGAGGCCACGAAGGGATAAGGAATCCCCTTTCCCCTGTTATATTTTTACTTTAGAAAAAAAATTTGGGACATATTCTCATTATTAGAACATTCAATAAGCACATGGAATCCCATCGCTTCAAGATAAAAGACATCATGGGATATCATCGCCTCAGTGCGGGGTATGTGGGCGACATCAGGGTATTAATCTTTCACCTTTGCGGACGTTTAAATTTTTAAATTCTCCGATAAATATAAATATGGTTTCTGAAGGGAGACTTCACGTTGAGTCTTTCCGTTTGTTTCTGTAATCAACTGGGTTCCTTCAATGGATTGGAAAGCATTACTTTCATTTTTTCGAGGCGGTGAGGCAGTTTTCTTGATGGCGGGCCTTTTAGTACATCATCTTGCAGGGTATCCTTTGCCAAAGCATGCTTTCACTATGACACCGACCTTTATGTTAGGCTGGCAAACTTACCTCGACAGTTATGTCCTGTAAGGGATTGGTCTGGAAAACAACTGCGGTCGATATGAGAAATGTTTGCTTAGCTGTACAATCCTTACGGGTTACTTTGCAGTCCAACGTGGCTACCGACGTATCTACCGTTGACGCGTACCTGGAGAAACAAGGGTTCTTCCAACTGATTCGAAGTGGATCTATCAGGTTGTGATATTTTTATTTGAGAACTTTGATGATGATATTCGGGTTCGGTATAGTGATAGAGCTCATGAAGTTCTGCATTTTCTTCAATGACTTTACTTTTGACAAGCATCTCGGAGCGTCATCTCCCACTTGTCGAGGAGAGTGTTTCATCTTTTAATCTCGGACTTCTTGAAGCTTACCTTCTCCTATTTCTTAAGTATTGTATTACTGAAATTAAAGGGTTTTCGTGTAAAACTAATTTTCATAATGTAATACTTACCATAACTGTATTGAGATATAGTCCACCTCCCATTTACTCCTCCTCTGTGACATAGCTTTGCCGTTTTCGTTTGGCTCAGAAGATTCGTACGTGAGTATTGGGAAAAGTAGACGGGACAATTTGAAATCATTGTTAATGAGATACTAAGATGTTCACTAAACACTGGTTATCTCTAACCTAACTAACATTTAAAGAACCGGGGCCTGATGTTACGTGAATGCAAACTCTTAAAGTTCCAGGTCATTGTTAATAACAATAAAACTACAAGGATTGGACATATCAAACCACATATCGCCTAAGGATGCAAGCAGTTTTCCAGAGAGATGATGACCGAAGAGTTTTTATTTCAGTCTTCATAAACATACTCCGACAGTTGTCGACAACTATTGCATTCTTATTGACAACTTCGAGACAATGTTCATAAAAGCGCACATATCACTAAGACAATTTCAAGATGATTTATTACTTAATTCACAACTGTTACATTTGACGAAAAGGTTAAGAATTTTTACACCATTTTGAATTCATAACGTAATGTCATTGTTTACGTTATGATGTCAGAATTGAATTCTTGCTGACGCAGCCCATGAAAACGTTTCAGAGTTCTATTACTACTAGTGGCATACTCCTTGGTAAAAGTTCGATTATGTGTTAATTTCTATGACAATGGATTACTCTATCATTTTAACATCTAGCGCTTGCATTTACGTAATAGTTAAGGTCATTAAACTTTGTGTAATAAAATTAAGCTGTCAACCTCAATCACATTGTGAGTCTCTATAAATAAGCATTTTGTCCTTGAATTTTTTTAAATCTAAGATAGATTTTCTTACAGTTACGCCTGACTAAGTAGCACTTACTTGTGTAACGTCCTGCACTACAAGTATTTCTGTAAGGCCCGGACACAAGTGGATAGCTTCAGACGAAATGTTTGGAGGCTCCACCGACAAATTTGATTTCTCTGATATTGAGGGTAGAAAAAAGATGGGGCGTAACGATGAGGATGGTGGCTGCAGAATGTCCGGTGCATCGGGGTTTCTGATGGTGTTGCTTGCCATAGCTATCGCAGTGGGTGTTGGACTGATCGTGCATTTCGCTGGAAACCAAAAGGAACTTAATTGTAACTGCCAGTGTGGACCAGCGGAGGGCGTTGTCACAATGGCTCCAGAATTTCTAACGGAAACATGCAAGGCTAAAGCTGTTCTAGGGAACCAAGAGCTATGTAAGTCCATTTTGTTTTAAATTGTTGCTATTTTTCAAAAATGAGGTAAACATATATGGGAATTTAACATTAGCATCGGCCCTACTTGGAATTTCAAAATATGATAAACAGATATGGGTATCGGGAGCTTAAATACGGAAAAGTTAGTCTCGGAATGGATTTCTTATAAAATGGTTACTCCTTGACTAACACCTTGGTAGGTGTTAAAGAAGTTGTTACATTATTTCTTCTAGGGCATTATTATGTGGCGATTCCAATCAAATTTTGTCATTAATGGGTGCACATTGTACCAACTAACATTTAGGTACCACATATCACATTATTTCAGGAGAAACGTTTTATTTGTGTTGGAGAATGCAGCCAAAATTCATATAATAAGTCATTACTTTTGAGAAAAGTACCGTTTTGGACATTTTAATTTTCATACTTCCGAAACCAATCTATTTTTCATACTTGATTAAAAGTTGGCCACAGACGATATATTTCAAAATGAGGATTCTTGGAAAAAATGAAAACTAGTAAATTTGTAATTTTACACATTTGTTTAAAAAAACTAAGAAACACTGATATTTTTTTTTATCATTTTCGTTAAATAGTGACAGCTTAATAACCAAAAGTCTGTAGGTTTTGCTATTTGACAAGGTGGTTGTTCATGTCAATATTTATCAGTTTGGTTAACATTGCTGAACTTTACCTCTGTTCAAGGTCACAAAAATGAAATTTGTTAAAATAAAGACATTTTTGTGCAATTTTCACAATTTGAAGATTTCGTTAGCAGCTGTATACAAATCTTTTGATGAAGGTCAATAAAGTGACCTTATTGGATAGATTATGTACAGTAATAGTGACTGGTTTTGCCTTTTTCAGTTCCGATCCATAATTGTGGCCCTTTGAGAAGCTAATAAGAGATAGAACAGTTACAGCACATTACATTACGTTTTTGTATAGTAGAACTGCTGAAATGATTGCTTGTTTGAACTTTAGTGTTGCATGGACTGGGTTAGTTTGATCTTGATGCTGAACATGGCCCAAGAAATGCAAAATGCATGCAACATGTGAACACATTCCAACGGTTCGCTTGCCCGCTGGACAGATACAGTAGTAATCTTTGACAGTGTCATCTTAATCATTTCTGTCAAACGCAATCCAAACATTGTATTGACTGTGATTTGTGTCTTGAATGGATTTGGCCTCAGAGAAGATTTTCATCTTGCTGATAGACCCAAACTCAGATGTTCAGCAATAAATCTGGGTGTTACTTTCGACTGGTATGATCCGCAGGTTACTGCTTCTAAATATTCCATATCCAGTACTGGAAACTCTGTTGAACAGGCATCAAGTTTCACCCAGTTGGCCTTGTTGCGTTTAAAAAGGTCAGGTTCATATGCAACCCTTGATGCCAAGGTGTTGGGCAGAGCCAACCGGAATTGCATTAGCTCAGCAAGACGACGGTCCCTCATGTACCTCTCTGGTGTGGACACATAAATTAATCCACGTACAGCATTCAAGGAAGCAGCAGCTACTTAAACCAGTTCCGCTGTGATACTAAGGAAGTAGTTTGAGCTGAGTTGTTCTCTAAACAGTTTCCACTGTTTCAGTCGACCATGGTAGCTCTCCAAAACCCATCTTGACCGAGTACACTGGCGGTCCTCGTTGGCAGTAAGTATATCAACAATCACATTGTCATCTTCACTGAAGCACAAGCTCAGATTCTCAACTGTTCCAAGAATTTTTCTTAAGACATTTGCATCATTTTCATTGCCATAAAAGGCCAAAGAGTGTCTAGTACATAACCACCTGAAAAGACAATGCTCACGAATTTAACATAGTTGCACTTCTTTAGCCCACAGTATAAGGATCTTTGAAGGGGATGAACAGCACTTTTTTTGGACATAAATATAGGTACCATCAAGGACTACACAGTTACTTTATCCCCGTAAAAACATCTTGTAAAAGCAGTGTTATGGCACTTAGCGTCCTCACGGGTAATGCGTCTTGCACCAAGGAAACGGGGCACAAAGGTCGGGCTCAAAGCTTTTATGACACTATGAAATGTGTGAGACACATACTGTTTTTTTTTGTCAGACCACACAAGACACCAAGTTGACACCATGAAATATTGGTCTTCACTTTAATCCAGAAAAAAAACTAATCATGAAATGTAGAGGAACATGATCCTCTATTGATGTGTGAGGAACAAATGCTATGGTTTTGCTGCATTTGTTCAAGTTTGTAATCAGTCCATGCTTAGAATTCTTCATTTCTGAAATGGTCTACGTTTATGCCTGTGTTGGTTGGAGTACCAGCAGAAAGCTCTTTCTTGAAGACGAAGTGCTAACGGTTATCTTGTTTGCAGATCTAGTGGCAAAGAAGGATTTAGAAAGTAACCAATTACATGGTCATTGCAAACACGAGCAACAGGGGGGCACCATAGAAAATGGAAAAATATCAAGTTTGTCCTGGCATGCTGGGGTATGGTGCAAAGCTCAGTGCCCTCTTTTCCACATATGACACACCTCTTATGTGAATTGCCACCATAAAATAATTTCTCAACCGATATTAGTGGTAGTTTGTTGGATGACATGAAATCAGTGTAAGCATCATCTGTATCATTCGCCAGGTCATACAAGTCTGACTGCAATGGCCTTTGCTTGAGGTACCGCTTGTAGCACTTTCCACATAATATGCTTTCTTGTTATGCTAATGATATCAGCAGTCAGCAGCTGATGCAGCCAGTTGTGCTAGGGTAAATATACATGTCTCACTTGAGCTCGGGCTCCTTAAGATAAATTTTTCAACCTGGTTTTGTAACCACGACCTATGCACATGTCTGACATGATTATTAGCAAACTTGATGGGAGATTTGCAGTAATTGGAATTTAAAACAGAATGTCTAATATAAGTGTAACTTTGTCCATGTAATTGTCTACAGATACCTAGCAAAAATGGTATTAATACTTTATAGTAATATCTTTATATGTTTCAGGAAATTAACATACTTGCACATTCAGGTTCGGACAAGGTTATCATTTCTGGCCTCATTAATTAATTAATTAGAATATCTAACTAATTTATATCCAATATTGTTATGTGTGATGATAAACGAAGAAAAAATATATTGATCATTTAATCATTAAGTTTACATTTTTAATGCCAATATAACATATGTGGTATCAAAATAAGGGACATTTTATTACTTTCGGCTGGTATATAAATATTTTCATTTAAAATTACCATGTAGCAAGTATTTCTCATTATGTTAGGGTGCCTTTGTCACTCAACCTGGTGTTATACGAGGAGGTCCAGTATGACTATAAGTAGCTATAATGACCAATCATTTATGCGGTTGTAGGTTATTTTTATGTATCTAAATATGGCGAAAAATAATAGAAATCTTTGTGGGGCCAAATGTTGACCCCACATTTGGTGTGGTTTCACTAAATATTCATTGAACAAGAAGTATGTGTATAAACATTTTTTTCGACTTAGCAGTACAATGAGAACTTTCTTGATATATCTGTGAAATGCCCGATGCTTTTAACCTGTAGTTTTCCCCTTCTTATCATCAGAGACACACGTCAGTAATTATGTAACGTATGTGTGTATTGAATGTACATTATGTGTAGAGGATCCTACAACATTTTCAGTTCTTACATAATTAAGAGGCTAACACAACTTCCCATCTAAATTTCGACATAAGATTTATAAAAAACTTTTCAATCGCGAACTAAAAGAAATTAGATACGAGATATTTCAGCTATCACATCGAAACGGATTTGATTATCTTTATATCACATGATTGATTATTCCTGCAAATGTATAACACTGGTGTTTCTATGTGAAACTTAAAGTCCTTTCAGCTCTTTATCTATGGTGCGTGTGTTACGTTATTTCATTATCTTAACTTATCATTACCATAATCCATATTAAACAAGTATCACAGAGGTGTAATGTAGCTTATTGTCACGCCACTTTAAATAGTGAAATGGTGTCAAAGTTCACAGGTGGCAGGATGATGTAACAATACAAATCATAGATAATTAGATATTGATTAGTCATGGTTCAGACTTGACGCATAATTTCCGTTTTCTACCATAACTTCTTGAAATCGATTATGTGATACTAAATTTGTTTCCATTTCATTTGTGATACATGAAACTCGCATGATTTTTCCTCATTTTAGCGAGCCTTTTGATAGAAATAAAACTCAGATTCATATCTTAACCTGACGTCACCATAATTTCATAGATATATATATTTGTAAATAATGTAAGGCGTGCTATTCTCCTTTGTATCTAAACTTGCTCAAAGATATTGCGTTTACAGTACAGTCAATATTTCAATTAGTAAAGAAATCAATTTTCAACTGCAGCTAATTATTTTATCTATATATTTAATAAATTTGTGTATTTATTTGTATATATTCGTCAGCTTATTGGCGATTTCACTATCACACGCTACCCTAAATGAAGATATAACAGCAGATGTCTCAGCCTCGATATTCAATACTGTAAGAATGTAAAAATAAAAAGGATATATGCAGGACATTTCTATTAATAATGGACAGATCTAGAACTACGACACATGGCAATTTGCTGAGTTATCATTGTCAGTCTGATATATTGAAACATTGATAATATTACGTGTATCATAAAAAGTGTCATTACATAATATTTAAACTCCATGTCAAAGATTGATCAAAAGGCACGCAAGCAAACACTGTCTTTTTATGCAAACATGGAATTAGATGCCGTAGAGTCAAATTATAAATTCCATACAGACATGCAATGTTCTAACAAAAAATGTGCCTTGTGATATGATACCTTCATGTTTACGACATGAATAGCTTTAGCAGTGCATACTACGAAGTTATTTTAAGATGAAATCTTGACATAAGATAGCTTAAATGGCAATATGTTTTGTCTTCTTGAATGTAGGTAATTTAAAATCGTGTATTTGCTCTTACATCAACATTTCTAGTTGAATATACAAACATATTCAACTTACCGTAGATTGTAAAACTTGAGAGATGATGTGTTTGCGACATGTTTGTGCATACTTTACTTCGTGACAACTTTCTAGTGCTAATACACTGAAGTATGCTGCCAAAAACAGGGCATCAAAACTGGTCACCTTATACTAACAACGGGTAAACTAATCGTTGCATTACAACAATGCTGAAGCAAAGCAGGAAGAGGTTACTATAATTTCAAAAGACTTTGGAATATGTCGGCCACGTAACCTGAAACCCTACTCGATGGGGCAAAACTCTCAACTAAAAGGTCTAAAGTGAGGCAGTGTCAAGGGGAAAAAGAAAGATCTGTAGATAAAAAAGATGACAAAGTATAGTCGCTCACATGCACGAAGTGTCTGAGAGCTTATGGAATAGGGAAGAATCTGTCGTCCTTCCATCGGTCAATCTACTTTTATTTTTTTTCTGTAAAGTATGAACAACCGGTTACTGATATTTCTCATGAAGGACCAGTAGGAAAATAGGCACAAAATATACTTAAGATAAGATCTTTCAAAATGTCCTTATAAACCTCGCTTGTGTCGAACACGCTTGAATCGAATACATCGGATAACTCGAATACTTTGTTCGAATCCGATTTTTTCATTTAGTGAATAAAGCACGGATGATTCGAACTGATTCGATTACTGCGTTTGTGTCGGATATATTTTGTGGTTCATCCCTTCTAAATTCTACCAAAATTCTCCTTTTTTGTGTCGAACATTCAGGCGTCACCTTTTTGCCGGGGAAAAACGTCGCGGCTTGGTTCCAATGAGTGAGTGTGATCGATCAGCCGTATCTGTGTTAACGAACTCTATGGTGATTTTCGATCGAACATTAATCTTTAATCCCTGCGTGTATACAGGTGTACAAGTGAAAGTTTGAATTTATAATAATTTGCGACGAAAATAAAGCACTGACTTAATAAAAAAAAAAAAAAAAAAAAGAAAAGAAAAAAAAAAACAAAAAAGAAAAGAAAAAAAAAAATAAAAACAAAAAAAGAAAAGAAAAAAAAAAAAAAACAAAAACAAAAAAAAAAAAAAAAAAAAAAAAAAAAAAAAAAAAAAAAAAAAAAAAAAAAAAAAAAAAAAAAAAAAAACAAAAAAAAAAAAAAAAAAAAAAAAAAACAAAAACAAAAAAAGAAAAGAAAAAAAAAATGAAAAAATGAAAAAAAAAATAAATAAATAAATAAATAAATAAAAAAAAATAAATAAAAAAAACTACCGCCCTAAAGAGAATTAATGGAGATATTAGTTTGTCATCGACACATCCGTTTATCATGAAATACATTTACTGGATATACAAATATATAAAGAAACTTTTTTATCTTCTATTTACTGTATACGCTCTTATAGTGATGTTTTCGAATAGTTATTCTTCATTGACATTGACTCAGAGCTATCGATGTTATAAAATGTTCATAAGTACGTATTTATTTTAAAATATTGTTGACGGGATTTTAAGGATATAAATGTTACGATATTTGTATTACTTTAGGTATCGATTTCACTAAACAATTTTAGAATCATCTCAAGCGTCAGAAGACTCAGGGTCCTGGTAATTTGTGAGCTTGTAACAAAATTGCTGATCAATTTGGAATTAGCTCAGTTTAATGTCAAACATCTTTTCATGCAAACCAAAATATCAAGATAACTTGTGACGTTGACATAATTAACAACAGCAAACTTTGAAGATGATTCTACGCAAGACGTCGAATATATTGATCAATATTTTAAAGTAAGAATGAAGATTAAAAGATACAGAACAAACTGCAAAAAACAATTTGTATCTGGTAAGTAATTTAGGAATAATTGAAGGCAATTGAAAGGGAACTCTGTAATCTGAAATCGAAATGGACTGATTATAATTGTGGTAGCTGGATAGTCAATATTCAGAGGTTTGGGGGGGGGGGGGGGGGGGAGGAGGCGTTGTGACGTCATGCGCGGATGCCAAGACCCAGGTCTATCTGTTTCCCTTAGACGTCTAACAAGACGTTCTATAGTGCAAATATGGACACCGAAATGTTGGACAATCTATATTTGCCTTTGGCCTTACATAATCATGCGCTGTAACCTAGGGAGTTGCATGGCCGATGTTCACTGTTTTTTGACTACGCGTTAGCAAGATATTGCAAATAATGTCACCATGCGTTTCTTTATACTTTGAGTATACATTTGAACCTTGAACAACTGTCATAAAAACACGTGATAATTAGTTTGGCATTATTTCCTTACATAGCCGTGAAAGCAACACAAACCACCACCTTCGTTACCTGGATTTCAAAGATGCAGAGTCAAGGTCACTGTTTTTATTTTCAGAAATTCCTTATAAACGTTCTTACGGTTTCATTTCTTAATGGATTGCATTGAAACGTCAAGTACATGTCTATCTTTTACAGCTATATCAACGTTAAATGAGTAAGGGATTAGTATCGTTTGAGAAGCCTTGTTAGCAATTGATTAAAGGTGTATAACCCAATTTTTGTCCTCTGCCTTACCTGCTTAGTAAAAACAGCTCATACACTTCAATTCATATATCGATATAATGCACCACAAACGTCACCAATTGTGCCACAAACGTCACTAATTGTGCCACAAATGTCACGCTGTCAGCACTGTTCATTTTTGATACGATTTAAAGTATTCAAAGGCGAAAAAGTTTGTGAAGAACATTTACCACTTTGTTATAGATAGACAAGATCATACGGCAGTTAGCAATGTCTCATAATAAAACTTAATAGCGTTAACATTAGCTTTTGATAAAAGGTTATATCATTACTGTATATAAAAACGTTAAATACATGCTCCAAGGTGAAAAGTTGAATGCTCACACTCATATGCCGTTATTACAATGTATGTAACATATCTTTCTCTTCGGACTCAAATTAAGCAAAGGTTTAATCAGTTGAGTTTCGAGGTGTGTTAAAAAAGCTGCAAATCTAATGATATTTAAATAAATAAATTCATGCTTAATTGCGGGAATTATTTGTTCAAAGTCATTGCATGTATAACAAAGGGTCAGTCAAATCTGGTCCTTCCAAACTAGAAATTTGACTTTAACAACTGTACCTCATACGATATCAAACATCTCATGTGAATAATAGTAGCATCGACCTGTATATGGCAATGTTTTTTCTCATTGATAAAGTGTGACTTTTCACTGGTGAAAACACATACACATACAAACAAAACCGGAAACATGAAGGGGTTGTTACTAGTAACAAGGCCTTCAATTCAATGATAAACTTTTATTTCCATGAAATTCATCAAACAATGCAATGTACATTACCTGATCAGAGATCATACCCAATCCCCAAACAAATGTCGAGCTTACACGTTAGACATTTCAAGTGGATTCTTGTCATCATTAGCGACAACTGTACGTTGTCGCCATATTTTCAGGCGCGTAGTAACTTACCACAGGTAAAACTCTCTGTGGACGTTTTGAAGTGAATTTTGTTAATGACATCAATACGTAACACTTTCTATGAGAATACATAATTAATTTACATTGAAATTTGTGGTTACATATTTTGAATAAAAAAACGATATTTTCTCGCGTATTGCGAAGTGGTAATGGGTGAGTAGAATATGCAAAAAGCCTAGTCAGCTTTCTCATTTTTATGTGTACTGAATATGCCAGTAATTTGGCTATTTTACTGTAGACAATTCATAGTGACTTCAGAAATAATAAACATATCTTATTACTGTGTCAAATATAATTGTATCTTTCATGAGTGCTGCTATGATACTGTTTATTAGACACGTTTGTGAAATGTATTTGCTTTTACAGAATTATCAATTTATCAAATATCATGTCTCTATTAATTGATATTCAGGTGGACTGTGTCCGGAAAGAACCACTACACCATCACAACCGTCAATGTCCACAACTATGGGAATGAGGACAGCATCAACCATGCCAAACACTACAATGCCACCCACCTCTTCACCACACCCGATCACGGATACGCGTCTACCTACCTCTGTAAAACCTCTTCACTATGAGTTAAATTTGAGACCAGAGATGTACAATAACAAGCCGGAGACATTCACTTTCAATGGAACCGTGGCTATAAAAGTAGAATGCAAAAGTTCCACAGACAATATAACACTCCATATTGCCACGCAGAATCTTACCACTACCCCAACTGTAGAGGCATCAGATAACACTGAGGTATCTCCTGTTGTACTCTACACCACTAGGGATGTGACAAGACAGTTCCTTATCCTGACTCTAGATAAACCATTAGTAGTTGGAAATCGGTATGTCGTTCGATTAGCTTTTGAAGACCGACTGTCCAATACTGTTCTTTTAGGAATGTACATAAGCACCTACATAGACGAAGCAGCTAATGTGACCAAGTAAGTCAGTGGAAGAGAATGTTTTCCGTGTAATTCTAATGAGCACATTGACTGGTAATAAACAGAAAAATGTTAATATTGTAATATTCTTTTACCGAGAAATTTGCAAAATGCATAATAAAGGTATATACAGGTATGACACAAATCCCATACAATGTAGAGCTTTGCAAATGTTTAAATTGTATAAGATGGTTCTACAGAATCATTTAAACCATGACAATTGTATAAAAAAAAACTGTTTATCTATTAAAAGTGGAAATGGGTAATCACCATATAAGGACAGATACTTAAACTTGAAATACTTTTTGTTACAGATATACATGCTAATCATTAAAGAAATATTTTTCATATAGATATATTGCAGCAACCCAATTTGCACCAACATACGCGAGACATACGTTTCCTTGTTTTGATGAGCCAGCATTCAAGGCGACGTTCGACATCACATTGGAGCGACAACCTCACATCATCAGTCTCTCAAACATGCCCCTCGCTAATTCAATAACTCTGTAAGTACAGCAAAAATAATACCAAAGAATCCAAAATCGAATGGGGTAACCGCTCCTTGCATCATCTTAATATACCTTATGTATGGATATACTCTATTGTATTTGATTAAAATAGTCACAACTATAAATCTTAACAGACACACAGATATGGTAATGGCACGCCATGCCAAAATACAAATCATTATACAGAACTTGAAATCAACACAAAACATTGTAAATTTGATAACTGCTGAATCATATCCATGGTTGTATACAAGCAAATAAACAGTGTTAAGCATCTTAATATCATATATTCCCATTAGAATTACCAGTATGATCGTATGCTTTCTGCATCGATAATTTTAGTTTCAGCGTATTTGATGGACAGGTGTCTTAAGTATCTTATCACAGATTCACGTTTATTATTTTAGGATGTACCTTGTTATATTTTCAGACAACGTCCCGAAATCATTCCAAACTCGTAGTTAAAACAATCTCACGGGAGACATCAGTTCTTAGAAAATTCTCAATAATCACTGGAAGAATCGGATCCTAGCGTGTAAATTTAAAATGAAATGTAAACATGTATTTTCTAATTTAATCTTGTTGGTTGTAGTGGGTTTTTGAGATCCTGTACTGGGAAATAACGGAACTAAAATATTTGAGTACAATAGGTTAAAACATTTTTTGGGAATGTTATTTGTTGAGAAGTCGAACCAACTGACATTCCAATGCAATATTTTTTTCTTAGTTGGGGCCTCGTAAAATCTCGTAAAATTCGCATGACGTCAGTAGCGTAACAATGGATTATTAGATTACTTTATGCAGTTTAAGTTTAACAGACATTTTACCTGTTCTGGGAATGTGAATGCAAAACACACTGAAAAAAACATGTTTAACAATTGATTGCAAAAACGAAAGCATATGATTCAGCAACACTATCACTCATCACCATACCGACGTTACAAAAGGGCTTTATACTGGTATAATTGTTCTTGTAGGGGAGATGGTTACGTTGCGGACCATTTCGACGTTTCAGTCACGATGTCGACATATCTTGTTGCTTTTATCTTTGGCGAGCTGGACAGTGTAAAGAATGTAACGGAAAATAATGTTCTGGTGAGGTTTGAAGATGTTAGACACGACAACATCGTAAACTGCATACTTTACACGGGAACCTTTCCTGTTTCCCTCTCTATCTACATTGAATATGCCGAAAACAACATATTGATTGGTGTTTCATGTTTAAAATGCTTGTAGACAAATCAAACTAAACAATTGAGTACTCGATTATTTCTTGATTATCCGTTTTGATTTAAGCATTATTTCACGTTGTAACATCCACCTATGATTCTGCAATGTGACCATATATATCAAACCTTAAAACGATATTAAAATGTCATTGCACGAATGGTCTGGATCAAGGAAGTATTTCATTTACAAATATCCTGAAAATGTTGAGGATCTAATAAAATTTACGTCGATTTTACCATTATGTATAATAACACATTTGTGATATGTATAGTTGTGATAATGCACCACAGACTGAAAACTTCGTACGTACATCGTGCGCAGATCATGCGCGCACACGCACGACATAGTATCATGTGCACAACTGTGCGATAGGGTCGCACATTTTGTGGGGTTTGGTAAAAAATGGTGGGCTTAATATTACGTATTAACAATTTATCGGAAATTTGTGAAGTTAATACAAAATACAAAAAATCAAATGAACATTAATATTGATCGTTGATTTTGAAAGTCATTTTCAATTCTGCAGTTTTCGGAATAACACTGGACCTGCATTGGAAAGTCTTATCGTATATAGTTTCACACCTTAGAAAGTGGCGGGTAGTGGTGCCTCGGCCAACAAAAGTTGCTGTATAGGGGTATATATGTGACAGGTCCGGATCCGTACCGGCTGGGTCGCCCCTGTAACAAGCACAACATTTAAACTTTACCCGAGTAAATTTATATATATTTTTGTGAATGAAAAATTAAAGTAATAGAGAAGTAATGAAAATAGAATTTCCAGTATGAGATTTTAAATGATTCATTACTGTCCCGTAAAGATACCTCCATTTAGTGGTTGCATATATAATGTAATGTAGGTCCGTACACAAAGCTTGTTACGTGTGGCTCTTTGTAAACAAAACACTTAAAATTACGCGTGAATTAACTATTCGGTGATTATCTGATATATCTACAAGTGTCCAACCTTTATATCAATGGCTTAATTAGGATATATACTTTGTTGTAGTGTTATGTATTTAGAAAATAAATAACCCCAGTACCAAACTTATTTATAAGTCTTTTCTAAATTCATATCAACAACGACGACATTTGTACGATAGAACCGCACAACATGCGCACAAATGTGTGATTGCTTAGTTTGTCCAATTTTCCTATCGTGCGCACATCATGTCCACAACTGATTCAACAACTGTGTATATATATACATAAGTACACATGTTTATTTCAGTTTGGGGTGTATACTACTCACAAGAACATCAACCAGACAGCGTTTGCACTTAACTTAGGCAGCAGACTTCTTGATACATATGAGGAGTATTTCAATATTTCCTTTGTTCTTCCAAAACTCGGTAAGACCTGTTTATTTTTACAGTTATTCTCCATTTTACATCAATTAACGAATGCTTCCAATGAATTAGAATGTTATTGAACCCGAGTCAAATAGAACGTTCATGTATTGTAAAAGGGAATATTTTCTAAATAATTTGATATTTAACAAGCATCTTACCAACGTTCGTTAATGCAAAAAAGTTGATAAATAATGCAATATAGAGTTTCCTACCCATGGGTTATTGAGATTTTTGGTTGCATTTTCATCATGGTAGAGATGGTTTCGGAATGGTTTTATTATGGCATTCATAGTCGTTATAAGTTTCAGATATACGGCTAACGTTCCACCATACTTTCAGCTTGCTTCTAAACGTTTCAGCTACAAATAAATGCTGCAGCAACTGATTGCAGATGACTTTGGAACTAGTCCTTCATTAGCTTATTCTTGTTCTACCTGTACTTATAACTATGGTCAACTGGGCACATAGTAACTGGTTATTAAGCATTATCTAAAATGTTAAGCTACGAGAGCTTTTTATGGCGGGTCCCAAATATCGTGAATCCCTTTCCTTTAATTGGAATATGAATTTCAAGATACTTATATATTCTGTTAGATAATGGACGAAACGAGAACATGTTGCGTTGGATTTACTTTCTGAGTGAATTAAGTTCTTTCGGTACATCATTCGTAAAAAGAATTCGCAGTTTGAAATCGAAAATTAAAACGACAACACAAAGGTTAGCTTTCCTCGTTCATTATGTTAAATCGACACTTCAAGATTTACATGATAGGTATGTTATTGTGCCTGCATATAATCCGTCCGATAATTTGATTTTTGTCTGCAAACAATATTTCATAACTTTCTGGATAACGAAGGAAACCTTACCTACTCATTATGCCATCTAAATACTAGCTAGTCGTGATTCGATATTACAATTATTTAGATTGTCTATCAATGATAAGAATACGAACCTCCCCCGTTTATACTGGATCCCTACACTTCACAAGAATCCATATAAACAACATTTTATACCTGACTCGTCTAACTTTTCATTCAATCCTTTGACTTAACTAATAGCCACAATTCTAAGTACCATTCTAAGGACTATCAAATCTGGGTTACAGTCTGATTGTGTTACTGTTTACTCAAGAATGGAATTAATATCATGTGGATTTTGAAGAACTCCAAAGATATTTTGACCAATCTTTAATACCATCCTTTAAAAATAATTTCGTCTATACGAACATTTTATCTTTCCATCCCATACACAATCATTCCCCATTCTAAACTAATGGAACGCCATCACCCTCTTGTTATGAGAGCTTTCTTCTCAAAACAAAGGTGAACGGTGGTATAATTATATAGCTGCGAATATGCTGAAGCGTATTTCGCAAAAGTTACGTCCAAATCAACGAAACATTATACGGAGGACGAAATCATAAAAAAAGATCGAGTTTATGGTTGACATCTTCATCGAATACGATTATTGGCATACCTAAAGGAACCAACTTCGCACCTCTGTTGGCTGACTTGTTTTGTTTTCAATATATTGAAAAAATTATCAAACTAGGTCACCTTGCAAAGTCGTTTAATATCACCTTCAGATACGTTGATGATGTCCTGTCTTTCAATAATAAGAAATTGATCGACTACGTCCATCGTGTATATCCATCACAACTTGAAATCACGTCCATCGTGTATATCCATCACAACTTGAAATCACGTCCATCGTGTATATCCATCACAACTTGAAATCACGTCCATCGTGTATATCCATCACAACTTGAAATCACGTCCATCGTGTATATCCATCACAACTTGAAATCACGTCCATCGTGTATATCCATCACAACTTGAAATCACGTCCATCGTGTCTATCCATCACAACTTGAAATCAAAGATACAGTAGATTCTTTTATATCAGCAGCTTACCTCGATGTTTTCCAACAACGAAACCAACATGGACAGCTTCCCATCAAGCTGTATGATAAACGTAATTATATCATTCTACAGAAAATAAATGCTGATTTGAATCTAGTGGCATTTTATATCATATTGCTGCACAGGCAAAGCTGTCTACCCCGACTGATAATATTACATATGCGTTTTTTTAATCTTAAATTACTCAACAGAAGTTTTGTCTGGCCTGACTATCACTTTTTCAGATAATGTGGGCTTGCCCGACTTTGTGTTTGGTGCCATGGAGAATTGGGGGCTGATGACATACAGAGAAATGTTCATATTGAACATGGAAGGTGTGACGACCACACATGGTATGGAATTTACGGCCGAGATTTTAGCACACGAGATCTCCCATTCAGTAAGTAGTCAAATATATATATTGCGAACAGCTAGGGAATAATGCATGCCGCTGTTTTCAATGCACCACCGCATCCACTGTAAATTTGTATTTGGCATAAACATTTTGTGTATGTACTCCTCCTAAAACACACATATAATTATAAGAAGATGAATGAAATAAAAAGAGCAATAATTACGTCAGAAGTTATTACAAAGTGGAAATAAACCAAATTCAGAACTCATTTATTAATCTAAAGTGTACCTGACCTGATCTAATCATAAAAACCTCCCTGGTATAGGTGCTCTTATGTTACCTTTCTATATATTCATACACCACATTTCATGACCATTCTTATCCGTAAACAATGCAGTTCTATTATTTGTTTTCTAGAGAAAATATGATTTTAAATTGTCTGAGGGCGGTTCGTGTTTCTCGGAACCGAGGTCAAGGACCGTGTCCCTATACTGAAACATTAACACGATGCTCTGAATAGTATGGTCCTCTCACATGCTGTTCGGTTAAGTAAACACCACAACTGCACAAAGACTCCCATATTAAATTGGCTCTAGATTGTCATTTGATGGTCTTGATAAAAGTCAAGCAAAAATAAGATAAATGCTTATTTCTATCGACTCTAGATCATGAAATCGAACACTAAATAATTCATATGCTTATCATTATGTAATAATAACATACATTCTTGAAAATGGATCTCTTTGTTTCATTTCGTAGTGGTTCGGGAACCTTGTATCTCCGGCCTGGTGGGATGATGTTTGGCTAAATGAAGGGTTTGCTACTTTCCTGTCTTACCTCGGAGTAGATCTCGTAGTTCCTTCATGGGGGATGGTGAGTATAAAACTATATGGAAAATTCAAGTCTCCGAAACAACACTGGCGGGTATGTCATGGAATGATTGTAGGCGGGCCTAATAAACAGTGTTTATGAATTGTAGATGGACCTAGTAAACTTGTATATCATACAACCGGTGATGGACGTGGACAGCGTTGAAAGTATTGTTCCTATATTCAGAGAAGCGTACACACCTGACCAGATAATTGGTCTGTTTGACATCATCACCTACTATAAGGTAAGCTAATTCTACACTTTGCCTTGATAGGGAACCGACTGTTCTTAACAACAACATCAATAACAGTGCCGACATGTTATCAAACTTTCAATTGATACTGGAATTCGATAATATAACGGAATAGTAAAACAATATAAGCAACGAGACCTTTAAAATATTAAGGGGAATCATATAAGATATTCCAGAAGGGTAAGCGTCTACTGCTCCTACGTTGAATAAATGATATATCGAAATATTTTTGTAGTATAGAAAAATTGTCATGGACTTTGACTTGGTTTATTTTACTTTGTTTTTCGAACAGAAGATGAACGATGGGTTGACTCTTTGACATATATAACATTGAGTGTATATAGGGACGAAGAGATGTTGTCATCCACATTGCATTCTCTCCAACCAAGACCTGTGTCAGGTGCTCGAAAGAGCTAGTCATAATAAAATCATGTATTTTATATGCACTGTGTTACTTTTAAATTTTTCAATATTTTGTTGTTTGAAGGGATGTGCCGTTGTAAGAATGTTGTGGTTCTTTCTTGGTCCAGAAACGTTCAGGAAAGGATTAGAGGTATGTTGTATTGGTTAACAAATTTGGTATATCTCCCATTGTAGTGCACTGCCACTCTTCAACACTTCACCAGGTAATGCTAAAACCCAGTCGTTTACATCATCAGTATGGCGATGTAGCGTACGTTGAACATCCTTGAAAAGGAAAGTTCTACCTTTCAAGGAGGGATACACGCTATAATCTTATAACAGAAGTGGGGAAAAGTTGATAATTAATTTCATATTTTTTTTTCAATATGATTGACAAAATGAATACTAACAGCACAAATGCTTTCCAAAATGGATCGTAAATGTTATATATCCCACTCCATACAAATCATTGCAATTATGCATTTATGTTGTCAACGAATGTGACGTGATCACAATTTTATACGATTTATATTTTGTGATGCAATCGACTGTATGAAATTACACGGCATACACTTTCACTTTATTATGAAAATAAAACCTCGTGTTGTGGAAAGACTATTAATTTGTCATCGTGACCGCACTTGTTACCATTTTACATTAATATCAATTTTGACTGTTGTTGGGTATTAAGAAAACTTTGATTATTGTATCAATGTTACAGAGATATCTGAACGAGAAGGCTTATGGAAACGGCGCACACGATGACCTTTGGGCTGCCTTGCAAACGGTATATGCAATTGTTCGGAGCTGCCCTGATTGTGTTCCAGGGCAACAATTTTCAATCTAATTGTTCATGATAACGCATGACATGCCTCCTACATGGTGTTTAGTTATGTAGCCATAAACTTCTATAATGATTCCTCGTCACGAAATGCCACCTAGCTCTTAATGGGGTAGTAGACATAGTAAACTAAATCACAAATTCTTTTAGACTAAATTCATATCTAAGTATCTTTTAGGATGTCCCTATGTAAGCAGTATAACAGGTAATAAAATATTTTTGGTATCAATATACTGTTAGCATTGCCTGTTTGATCTGTGATTGACCGTACATTTCCAACGTTTGATTTGTGTCCTAATCTATGTACAGTCCTAGATTCATTGTTCCACCAGAGAAGAAATAAACTTGCATATTTGTAAGAAATAAATGAGTGTGTAGTCTTGATTAAGAAAATGGTTCAGTTTTATATTAATATTTGATTGATAGACCTAGTTCACGCTCGTTTCTATCTTATATTTGATTATACTTTCATGTATCCAAAATATGATATTTCTGCAACTAGCACCTTCTTTTTCAATATGACCTGCCAACTACGGAATAAAGATATGATAACACACTATTATAAAAAATTGTACAAAAGGCTGACAGTTATAGTGAAATATTGTGGGATTATCTATATCAGTAAATATAATATAGCTGGTAATTTGTACGTGTCAAAGTAAGCGCGATCTTCATTTTAAAACGATCGAATTAGATTTTAAGAAATCTAATTATTTTCGCAATATGGACTTTAAAAGGACATCTGATACCCGAGTGTCTCATAATTTCAAGAACTAAATTTTCTCGAAAGCGTTAATGTAGCGAAATAGCAAAAATATTTCACCTTCGAAAACAACCGAGTAATTGGCAGTAAAGTATTGTAACATGTGAACATCTGTGCTTGATGCTTCGTTGATGTATGTATTTGTAGCAAGCAGTCAAAGATGGAAAGGATGATATTGATATAAAATCTATCATGGACTCATGGATACTACAAACGAACTATCCGGTGGTGACCGTCAGGAAGGTGAATGGAGGCCTGTACCTGCATCAGAGTCGATTTCTTCTACAGTCCAACAAGAACACCGATTTTGCAGGGTAAATAGTTTTAAATGTATTTACGATTATTTAACAAATATATTTTATCTGGGCAGTCGTGTATCATGATTGATTATTACCCTAGATTTAAGTAGGGGTAATGACAAAAAATATATGCATTTTGAAATCATGAAGTGCGCTAGCACTTGAAAATTCATGATGTTTACAACATATTATAATAATTATTACTTAACTTCGCTTGCATTTTTCTTTTTATTGAATTTATCTCGAGTTGCATATGCATCTTCATATTTTATCAGAACGTGGCCCTTACCTCTATTTTTTATTGCCAGTTGCAGGGAAATTAATTCGCTTCACATATATCTGTATATACATAGTTACAGATTAGCAATCACAAAAAATTGCACATACTTTACGATTTATAGAAACATTCTTGATACAGAACTAAATTAAAAAGGCTACCTAACAAAACTTTGTTTTAAAGGTGATAATTTAATTTAAATGTAAAATGTTATTTAATACTGACTAAAGTCACTTTGTACTTGTTATGAATTTTTCATAAAACATGATAATTTTAGGTTTAGCTGGACAATTCCATTCACTTACACCACAGACGAGGAACTGAACTTCAATCAGTCTGCAAATAACGTTGTATGGATGGCACCAAATACACAAGGTACCTATCTTTTATTTATTTACTGTAAAATGTAGTCACCTCCGACATTCTTCATCAAATAACATATCAGTACCTACTTGAACACCAGAAAGGGTCATATTAGGATGGTGTGGAGTAGAAATTGTGATAGTATTGTGTAACTTGAAATCTGTAAATAGGATTTTCATGAACCACTCCTGCCAATATAGTAATAATCTAGCTGAATATAGTTTCATATTTGTGTGAGGTTTCGTTTAAAAAACGAATGACATTTTGCATAGACCATGCTACAACTGTGACGATGGTGATAATAAAGTGTCACAATTTTCACCGAAAATTCTGTCTTGTATGTACTATTATCCACATGAATCCTGGTTAAGATAAAGTTGTAATGTGCTTGAAGATGCAGTTTTCTGAAATTAAATCATGCCCTCAATTTCAGTGTATGCTACAGATGCTAGCATCAGTAAGATGAATGGATGGGTTATCGGAAACATACAACATTACGGATACTACCGTGTGAACTATGAACAGGAAAACTGGAACGCTCTGATTACGCAACTGAAGACCGATTACACGGTACAATATTATGATCTTTTGATTCGAATTTTGGAACAAGACACATGAAACTAAATTCTAGTTGAAGCAAAAATATTTGTACTGATACACAGATGACGGATACATTTTAGGAAAGAAAATACTTATTCGAAACGTTTTTCTTTGATTATTTTCCCCGAATTAACCTTTGGTGTATACATGATAATGCATGATTAATGATTAATGACCAAATACACGGTAGAATATTAAAATCTTTTTAATTCTAATTTTGAGATAGGATGAATGGATATTAATTCATAAGTGAAGCGGAAATATATGCATCGTTATAGATAAGGAGAATGAGTTATGTGTGGAAGAAACATATCACTAAATTTATCTATTTAATTTATGGGGAGATGGTTGAAATTATTGTTAGAACAATTGATTAAACTTGAATGATACTTTATTTTATAGTCGACCACTAGATTCTTGAAAACTAACGATATTTTAAATGCGTCGAACGTTACCTGGTTTTATGTGCATATTAAAAATAAATTTCGGGTATTTCAGAAAATACATGTGGTAAACAGAGGAACACTCATTAGTGACGTATGGGCTTTATTCAAGTAAGTATTTCCAAACACATTTCTTAGGTAACATGCTTCTAATAGATAATTGATAGAAGTTTTATTTAAACATAACATTTTTAAACGACATAATAATCTATTCTTTAGAGTTAATTGATGAAAAAAATTGTATGCCTCTTATGCGAAACAGGTTTTAAAAATCATTTCAACCAGCCATTTAATAACCATTATCAAGTGAAACGGGTGATTTTGTCTTGGTAGGGCTGGACAAGCCGATTTAGTCACTGCCTGGGATATGCTTACCTACCTACAGTACGAGACTGAGTTTATACCTTGGCAGTATGCTTCATCAGAGCTCGTCTACCCGAACAATATGTTAATTAGGCGTCCAGCGTACGGAAATTTTGAGGTTGGTTTAGAATTATTTGCATTTTGAATTAACTTTCCTATAGCGAATGATATATTTTAGCTGTATTTTTATGCATAGACAGAATGTTACCGTAACAGACAAAAATATGTAAAACTAAATGTATGATATTTGACATAAAGTGATTTTATGATTGTTAATTTTACAAGTCTCAATCCTTCAGGTACTCCTATTCCTTTTTGTTGTTTTGAATAATCATTAAAGCGTGATGTGTGTGGATTTGTTTCATCTCTAGCGTTTTGTGCTGAGCTTGCTTGAAGGACGATCATTGAATGTGTCCTTAAACGATAACCGTCCTACCCAGCAGAGGTAACATTATTCTACAAATAATACATTTTTCATAACCGTTCAAGCTTGCACGAGCGTTATGACAGTAACCGATTCCAAATAATAAAGAACATACAATAGATGATATTTCACACGCGATGGACATGATATATTATACAATATTTGACACGTAATTGTTTTGTTTTACTTTTAAGTTTTTGAACAATTTGTCAGAGATAGATGACCCAACGTCTACAAGATTGATTTTGTTCAAATGTCAGGACATTTAGAACATGTTGATCAAAATGATCAAGCTTTTAAAAATTCTTCAAACAGTTTCACACAAGCATAGTAACTGAATATTACTTTTATCAGCACTGCGTCATGTTACATATTTATATATTCCTTATATATTACTTGAAAGGTGAATGATAGCGCATCCCAATAACATTGTTTATATACAGGACAATTTACGAAATACATCATTTATTACATATGCATATGTTTGACATATAGAATATATACCTATTAAGTTCAGTCATAACTATAAATAAGGAACTCAAAAGTCTGTATAGGTAGCAAATTAACATGACTGTATAGCTATGAAATCGTCAAATACAACTAATTATCATAACATATCCATGAACTACTATATACACATTCACATATTTGCATACAGTTATTTACGCGTGTTTAAAAAAACAAGTTTATCATATAATCTCCTTGAACCTTTCTCTTATATTCAGATCGCTGTCTAAATTGATATTTAGTCTATCCTGCCGATATGGTGTTCCAGAATGTGCGACTCGTGCCAAACAGTTATTTAATGACTGGAAAAATTCGGGAACATTGTAAGTATAAGTGGAACCTTGACTAAAACACCTTACTGATTACCTCCCTTTGTGGTATTTCATAACTGCCATGTTTAGCTGCTTCAATATATTGTAAAACCTATATTCGAAATTTTACAAGACAGGAATTAGGCAAAATCGACATAAACGAGTGATTAAGTACAACTTAATTCAGCAACCCACAAAGTCTTCTAACTTGGAAACAGGTATTGATTTAAAAAAAGACGTCAACCTAAATAGTTGAGAAAATGACTTTGTTAAGATATTGTTTTTAGGAATGAAATGTAAGTCGGCATTCGAAATTGACACAAGAAACACAAAATGAGGTACGATGTTAATTGGCTTTGCTTTAGGATACCACCCGATGTCAAGGAGTCGGTGTTCTGCCGTGCAATTAAAGAAGGAGGAGAAGAGGAGTGGAACTATATGTACGACGTGTACCTAAACGGACCAGCCGTGGAGCAAGCTGGAGCGCTTGGTTCACTGGGTTGTACAAGCCGTCCATGGATCATTAGCAGGTAACTAACTATCAAGTTGTGAAAAAGACACACAAGTGTATGGCACCATTTCATACAAAGTTAGTTTCGATACAAAAGAGCCAAACAATAGATGACACTACATCATACAGCTGTTTCGTCTTTTTAGGACTCATCACTGATGCCAAGGTACTAAATTTTAAAATCCTTAATGAACGAAAGAACTTTCAAAATCTAAACGGGGAAGTGCACTATCTCCATATTTCAGTAGATTTAGTAACTTTCCTCAATTTGATAATTTTACAACACAATCTACGATATGTATATGATGATTATTGAAATGAGATTAAACTTTAAGTATTTGTGATGTAATTTTCATTGGACCATAATCAATATTCAGTTCGAGGTCACTCTCCGGTATTCATAGCTCGGTGTTTATAATTTGTACAATGTAAAAGAAGAACATTTTTAATATATACAATACAAACTAAATAATGATAATTGATTTTTTTATCATCATTCTAAATAGGCGTGCCTTAAGTATGTTGTCCACACTCCCGCTCTGAAAGAACTTTTCATAAAAAAAAAACCTTAGTGAAATTATGAAAATTAAAAATGATCCAGTGTTTGGTTGACAACCTCTACGTCGAGTTTGGCGGTAAGATCTTCTATCAGACTATTGATATCCCCATGGGAACCCACTGCGTCCCTCTCTTGCCTGACTTGTTTTACTTTTCATTCGAGGTTGAATTTATTGAAGGACCTATCAAAACAGGTCACAAGGACCTCGCAAAGTCATTAATTTCACCTTCAGATATATTCATGTCGTCTTGTCTTTAAATAACAAAAAAAAAAAAAAACAAAAAAACAAAAACAAAAATAAATATATTGACTACATCCATCAAAGATACGCAGAGTCTACATCAGCTGCTTATCTCGATCTTTTCCTACAACGAAACCAATGTGGACAGCTTTCCATCAAGTTGTATGATAAATGTGATGATTTTATTTTCCCTGTTGTGAACTTTTCTTTTCTGGATAGCAACATTCCTGTATCTACAACCTATGGTATTTACAGTTGATTCGATATTCAAGGGAATATTCCCATCATCACGATTTACGTGCAAGAAGTCGTCAACTGATTGACAAACTCGGAACACAATGGTACAAGAGATGCAGGTTGATAAAAAGTATGAGAAGTTTTATGGTCGCCATAGTGAATTCATTGAGAAATATTCTACTTCTTTGTGTGACATAAAATTAGACATTTATGATGCTCGTTAGTTTGCCTGTTGCTTCCGTTGTTGTATACCTTGTTCTCATTTGAGAACGTGACACTACTTACTTGGGTTGACCATGGCTTACATTTAGGGTGTCGTCGATGAAGGAAAAGATTCTCACTCGTCTGGAACACCTGGCCTTATTCTCCTTGTACTTTTTCAGGTCTAACACAGCTTTTTCCAATATAGTAAAATCATGTCATGCAACCAGATCCAATGAGATGAGTTAATTGAAGAACTGAATTGAGGCCGTTTGTTATCATTAAAAGGGAAATGGAGAAAAGATTAGCTAATGGTTCAAGTTAACTGTAGATAAGGTCATTCATAGTAAACATATTAACGTTGATGAATAGGAAACATCGGGTTTATATCAACTACTAATTTCAGTGTTGGCAATCTTCTTAAATCGGCGTCTCTTCAAAATCATAAAAACCAGTGTTCTTTTGACGTACGCCAATGTTGTTTTTGGGGAATATTCCTAAAGAATTTTTTTTTCCGTTTCAGATACCTTGACTACATATTAGATCCCTCCAAAATAAGAAAACAAGATTCTGCGCAAGCTTTTCTATCACTTCTCAGAAATACCAATGCCTTCTATCAGACGTTTGAGTACATCCTAGCGAAATGGAAATTTATAGTTGTGAAGTAAGTACATGCCATTACATTTACCATTTTATTCGTATGTTTGTATTGTTTATACATTTTCAGGTACAGCGATAGCCGTTAGACTAAACATTAAGGATTCCATGTGACTTCCCAGACTATTTGAAGTTTTACAATTATCAGGTGTTACCAACCAAACATGATTAATGGGATGCTTTATTTTAAGTCTTTGTTAACCGGAATACTTTAAAGTACAGGTAGAGTGTTTTATTCACCGCACGTGCAGCCTTGTTAACACGATCGCTAAAGAGTTGTTGAATTTTAGGAGGAACACACAAAGATAACTTAGATCCGAGATATTGACAGGTGTATACACTGTTCCTATATAAGGTAGGTATCTCACTGGATAATGAGTCATTATAGCAGCAACATCCTCAGCGAGAGGCTACACGCTTACTTAAATAATGTATCAAGTTTTTTACTGCCTCTACGTACCTATATTTTATATCAATTTACTGGTTATGTAATACAAGTTTGGAAACTACGTTTTATTTTATTTATTTAATCAACATGCGTTTAGTTTAAACTTTATTTGTTACAACGACAATGAAAAAATAGTACATAGATTCGTTTCATTTAATCCTTTGTCTATATCCCGACAAGATAAGGTTAGATAATCTGTTATTAATCGATCATACAAGAGCATGTAGACAACGTCAACAGGTACATCCTCACATTTCACACAGGTGATACCGTGTCAAAAGGACCACAGCTATTTGTTGATGTACTTTTTGTAGATCCATGTATTCAGCCTTATCAGTATTGTTGAGCAATTGAAAATAAAATGTATATGCCTATAAGCATGGTAACTGAGAAAAGTTATTTATCGTAAGTAGATTAACATTGGGATATATATCGAAAATACTTGTTTGCTTAAATTTCCTAGTCTTTTGAGCTAAATCCATTATTTGTTATGCAATAACCTGACAAAACATTATGTGATAGTTTGTATTTTTCGCTCCACTGGAGTCAAACACGTAGCATGCCTACAGGTCAACTGATATCTGGTGTTTGTTACACCGCTGCATAAAATTCACGCATTGTGTAAGGGCAGTTGTCTGTGAAAGATCATAGCCACATGTACAGGTGTGGTAACGCACAACACACTAAAACTCCATGCGCCGATCGTGCAAACACCGTCCATATAACGTGCGCACACACGGACGATACAGTATCATGTGCACAATTGTGCGATAGGATCGCACATATTGTGACGTTTGGTAAAAATGGCTGGCTAATACTACGGACTGAAAATTAAATGCAAAATTCGTGAAAATAAAAATCCTTTTTAATTCGACATTTTTCGAAATAACACGGAACCTGCATTAATTACTCTTATCGTATATAGTTTTACATCTCAGAATGTGACGATAGCGCATCGCACATCGTATAACGTAGTGCGAGCCCACATTTTTTAACGGAAAATATTCTGCTTACTGCACAAGTCCCTGTGTTGTTGTTAAGACATGAACTTGTGTGTTCGCTCCAATTAAAACTTACTGTCACTTTAACATTGACATGTTCTAGTACATCTTAAAACTAAGCTGAATTTTATGATTGGAAACAACTGTATCGAGACATCAATAAGTTATCGAGACCTATGACGTCATTCGCTTCTGAACAATAAGCTTTTATACAGAGTAATTTACATTTCCTGATGGCATCTCGGTTTGATGAGTACGTATTTGTTATCAAAGCGTTGCCCGTTGTGTTACCGAGAGATGACCCGATGTCTTCTCTTATTTGATGATAAAACGTTTCTGAAAAACACATTAGTTAAATTATTTGTGATATCTGAACATTCATTGATGAAACATACTTATTATCGCATGTAAACAATATCAGAACTGTAAATCGTTTTTTTACTCCATACAGCTACCAATTAGATGTGATCATGTTGAATGAAATCGTCAGCACTGCAGCCGCAGGAATGTATACAGACTATGACATTAAGAAGGTTTGTATCAGCATTTTCAAAAGTCATAATTTTATGTTATTGCATCACAAACAGGAAATTAGTCTGGGCGACATTTGAATAGTAATACTTTGTTGTGTAGTTTTAGAGACATAACTCCAATCCAGGTTCCTTGTATTGGTGAAGTGTTTGTTTTATGACTAGTGTTTACATACAGAGGTATTATGATGAGTGACAATTATACCAATAAAAGGGCTTTCTTTTATACTTAGAGCTGAGTAATAACAGATGGAGGTCAGACTGGCAGACCATGTATAGCTTGATATTAGATATGATGGAGAAAACAAGTGTCATATAAGTAACATTAGGTATGGGTACATAGATGAATATCGTAACCCTGATGAAATATAATTTGTTAGTCTTTACTTTACTGATATGTACACTGATAATTAGATGATTAACTACATGTGTTATTAGCTGTAGATCACAAAAGATTGCTAGCCATGATCGCTTACTTTATCATAGAATAGGAAAAGTGTATATAATTCTAACTGTACATTCATACTTCAAACTAAGTAACTTTATACAAATTACTTTGCTAAAAACATATAATGGTTATCCCCGATTTTTAAACTGGACTTAATACATTACGTTTTATATAATGGCTTGTGCTTATTGTAATGCAGCTACATATCCTTTCCTAGATGTTGTAATAGAAAAGAGAAAATTCCACATAATCGTAATCCAAATTCAAATTCAATAAAACTGGGGCAAGAATGAATAAAGGAAAGATTAACATGAAACTCATGAAAAAGCACAAGGAGAATCAGACCAGGTTCTTCGGAAGAGTAAGCCTCATCTGCTTCATCGACGACACTCGTCATGCAAATTTTCGTCTATCCAAGAAAGTAATGTCGCATTCTCGAATGAGAATAAGGTATAAAACAACGAACGACCATCAACCACATTCAGCTTCATATCATAGTAACTGCGAAAGGTAAAACGCAATGTGTTGGGATGCAGGGTTAATGCTATCCAGAAATGGAAACAGTGAAATTGAATTCATTTCGATTATTCTACAGCTTGGTGGAAAGCTTTCCATTTTGATTATGTTGTAGGAAAAGATAAGCGACTGATAAAGAAGAGTCTGTTGTGTCTTGAATTTGAATTACTTCTGTTTGTGACATAGTAGGTGCCTGCATGTCTTTTGTGTTTACATCTTAATGCAAAATATCGTTGTTTTGACTGGAAAAAGTTGCGGGAGTGTGGAAACCGTGACATGTTATATACATGTACCTCTTTTTTGGACTGTTACTTTGGCCATCACGCCTAAATATATAAATATAAAAACGCAATCCACGCGACGTGATTTTGATTTTTTAAAACTTAAATATTACATTTTAGTCCCAAACATATATCAAGGTCTATTGTAAATGATGAATTAAGCTAATGTTGACTTTTTTAATCGATAGGATTAAAATTTAAATGTTCCCTTTTTATTTACAGATAGAAAACTGGAGAGATGAAATCCATCCCGATGGCGCCGCAAATGTCGGCGGGTTCGATGTTGCACTTAACCGAATTTCCGTCAATATGGAGTGGCACGATAAGTACTATGACAGGGTGGCGAACTGGCTCGAAAACTACGTCAGATCCGAACCGTGAAGTTTGCTAATACTCTAAATGAGTATTTAAGAAGAAATCAACATTTCGAAACAGTATACATTCATAGTATGTGATTTCACAATCAAATATCCAGGAATCAGTATCGACATTTACTTATCACAAAGGGGCATATTTGATTTGGCTGTGTTGATATAAGGTTATGAATACTTCTTGAGTTTGACTGTAACTGCGTGCTTTATAGACATTTGGAAGCGCTAAGAATGACAGACCTCTAACTGTGTTCATGACATTGAGAGAATCGTATCATTCACTTAGTAAATACAGAGAGCAAGATATCGTGCATATATCATCACACCCAAATGAATTGAATTTGAAATATATCCTTTATAAATATCAAGCAAGAAACAAGAAATAGTGTTTGGCACATATCCATTGCAATAGTTGTACCTAAATAAACAGAATTAGCCTAACGCATTTGATAACGTTAAATACTTTCCATGTATATCGGCCATCAATTAATCAAAATGATTTATATAAGTTTTATTTTTTTATAAGATTTATATACGTTGTTTAACTTGTTTCCAATTCCAATTCCTCTGTATACTTTGCTATGTATTAATATGTATGTATTATTCGCATGTTGTCATGTAATGAAATAAAGTTTATCTTAATTAATCATTTGACTGGAATGTTATCATTGGTAGGGCATTGATAAGTAATACTTACATAAGAAAGGTAGTTTGTTGATGAATATTGAAAAACATATAACCATGGTTTATATGCAACATTAAACTTTTGCTGGGAGTTAACGTCAGCTTTGAAGCTGCTGTATTGTTTATTATTAAAACACTCGTTAACATTTAAAAAAATGTTTTGTTCTTTATAATAAGTATGAACATCGCATTGCTCGCTTCATCAGTAAATCACCCTGATATGTCTCAAAAAATTGTTTTCGTTAATACATACCATGATTTATATGTTTACTCATTGACTATACCCACAGTGTCACCTTGACAAATGTTTCAAATAATGCCACGTTCCTTCCATATACTCACGTGCAAACTTTCGTAACATCTACCATCTTCTCCAGTGAATAGCGGATCAGCTACTGGGATTGTTTCATCACTGCTTCTTCTTGATTCTCCTAAGTGTTAGTTTTTGGTGTGACCATTCTTTTTCGGTGGTTAATTTATGTTCTTCATCTATCCCTTATTGTTTGTGACAGTGAACAATTTTACGATTTAACACAACAAGAGAAACCTGTGCAATAATAACAGAATTGTTGCATGTTCATATAGGAATGCAGGCATGTGATACATTGCAACACATGATACTCATATAAAAATGGGTTGTCATTCCAGGTAGATATAACTCTAAATATTGTAACGGTCCCTTCTGCTCACTGATTTAAAAAAAAATGCTCAAACATATTGCGCTTACAGAACAAAGATTTCAAATTGTAAATAATTCCATTTTCAACTTCAGCTGATTATTTTTCTCAGTTGATTATTTTAGTTTGAGTATTTTTTTTTATCTATTTTCGTCAACTTGTCGACCATTTCACAATCGCATGTTACACTTAACAAAGATATAACGACATATGTCTAAGATATTCAATACAGTTAGAATGTGAAAATAAAAAAAACACATGTATATCCCGGACATGTGTTGGCAAATAACAATATCAGGTGATAAAATGAAGGTATTCATAAAAGGCATGTTGTAACATTGTATGTCAAGCCTTACTGCTTCTGCACAAACAACTTTTTCTTTGGTTGTGTAACATATTAACAATGAAGAGATTTTGAACCACGGCACCTCATGAACGACTCAAATTGTAGTAGTTTCTGCATTATCATTGTCAGTGTGATATATCGAACCATTGATAACATTACGCTTATCCTAAATTGCTGTCAAGCTGAAACAAATGTTAAAAACTGTCAAAAGACACACCAATGGATAGTTTTGAATGCAAATTTATTATTAGATACAGTGGAGCCAAAATAATGTATACCATACAGACATATTTTTTGTTTTTGAGATGAAGTCGTGACATATGTTTAATGTTCTCTAAAGCTGGCAAATGTGTGTAAGTGTTTTGACTACTACAAAAATATTTCCATTTGAATATACAAATATATTCAAATTAGCATGAATTGTTAAATCTTAAGAGCACGTGTGTTGTGTGCTTGTATTCTGGGTGGCTGTGACATTTGTGTGTGTACGTTACTTTGTTCAAACTTTGAAGTGCTACTACACTGAAGTATACTGCCGTAGATGGGACACCCTAACCGGTCACGTTATATTGACAATCAGTGGATTCAATACCACAATGCTGTACTTAAAGCAGGCAGTAGTATCTACTGTTTAATACATTATACTGACAAAAAGGGACAATCAGTGGATTTAATACCACAATACTGTACGTAAAGCAGGGAGAAGTATCTACTGTTTTCAAAGCATCTGGTATGTGTCGACCACAGCACAAAACCAAAAGGCTGCCTTAATCGGGCGAACCCTGAACTAAAAGTCAAATGTAAGACAATGTCAACTATAGGCCCATCCTCCTGGATGGCTTTGTGTTGTACATTGGATATCACTTTGGTTCCATCACAGATATATATATACCTAACCTTTTTCACCTCTGACTCCTAAATGATACAGTTGAACTTGCTATAATAATTAGAATATTTGGAAAGACTCGACAACCCAATTAATTAGATATCTGTGTAGCCAGGGTTTTTCTACCTATAAACCAATAAATGATTTAGACAAGGGTTTCCATTTGATTACCATCGAACTACTTACCCAGGGCTTCTATCTGATAACCAATAAACTACTCAAACAGGCTTTTAGCTCACTAAAACCAGATTATCAAGTTCGATCATTACTTGTGACAGTAGTGCAATTCATTTGTAATATACAGTGGAACATTGAACAATTATTGTAAAGCAACTCATGGTTATCTGTGTTATACTGTATCAGCAAAGCTTATCCTCGAAGAGATTAGCATCGTTTGTGACACCTTGTTGACATTAATTAATAGTTTCTGTACCTGTTTATTTAAACCAGCTTATACTCGCCTTTATCCTGAAATCCTCACCGCTCAGAAGGTGATTTGATATCACTACCATGCACCACAACCGCATTAAGTCGCTAATAAGGCTACAAAACCTAGTGTCACGCAGCTCCTATGTCGCGATGCATTTTATGCGATTTGTAATATTTCAAGGCGAACAAGATTGTAGGAGAAATTAAAGATTACCAGTCAGATGTATTAAAGGTTCTTGAGCTAGCAAAGCCACACGACATTGAGATAAACAATAATACAACGTCAGACACATGTGCTCTTAACAAAAAGCATCTGACAATTTTCCTGTTCAGACGCAAAAGAAGCGACGGTTAAATAAATTTATATATGCAAATGAAACAGCTTATCGATTCGTACCTGAAAAAGAGAAACCATATAGAACAACCTTTGTGTGATCTGTTTCTACTAAAACGAAAACAAATATTCCGAAGTTAAATACATGCGTTTTGTACCCACGCGTGTTTCGTTTACGTCATCAGCGTGAGCGAAATGATGACCTTTGGTGGCGGTTACAGAAGTATATAAAGATATGAAATTACTAAAATTTAACTACAATTCATTACAAATTATAACTAAAAATAAAAAGGTTTTACTATCTTCAACGCAAAAAGGAAACAAATCCGAATAAAAATTAAATTATTACCAAACAATTATGAACTATTTATTGCGCGTTTTGGATTCCGTGCGTGCGTAAAGTGCTCTTTCCGACCATGCCACATGTATGTCTATCCAACTATTGGAAGGATTAACTGATGCCTTTGGCGTTGGAAAGTACTCGGCTTTTGTGGAGGAAATATAGCTATTTTATTATACTCATATTATACTTCCTATACCGCTGTAGATATATACCAATGTATGTACAACATCAAACATATACCGCATGCATGATACATGCAGCTCACTTTATTTCTGAGAGAAAGTGAAGTAGGATGAATGTGTCACTGGACAACTCTATAAAATATTCTGTCAAAGATATTTGTTAACAGCTATTGAATAACAGGGATTCATTCAAATAACTTGATCTACTCTACTTCGTGCAATACTTTACATCTAATAGTTAGTTTGAAAAAGCACTATTTTTGAATGCACTAAACTACTTTAGAATGCAAAATATTCTGCTGTTTTAAGGGATATGTCGTTATTAGAATGATGTGGTTATTGTTTTAATCCATAAACGTTAAAAAAGGATTAGTGGTATTCTGTTTTTGACGATGAATCTATTCTCTTCAACATTCATTGTTGACGTCATCATAATAATGACATCATATTGACGACTTTGCGTAATATGAATATCCTTGAAAACGACTATCTATCGTTTCAGGAGGGATACGCGCTATACATCTATACTGAAATTGGTGATATTTCTAATATGCTTGGCAATGTGCATGTCAACAGCACAAATAGATTAATTAAATTGGCGGTTGTCGAGTTTTCACTTATGTTGTCCATGAATGCCATGCATGCCATACGCTTTCATTTTACTACATAATTAAAAGCTCGCATGGCACTCGGTACAATATCAATAGTTAAGCATGCTTATTTGAATTCAATCATTGGCCCTGATAGACTGATTGCTGCATCGTTCCGAAAGAAAGATTTTAAAAAAATGAAATATATATATATATTTTAGATAGTTTATATGATAAGGAGGAATGTTTTGAACCACAAAAAAATGAAGGGTGCTGTATCAGGCCATTCTCGAGTTCTCTCACTTTTGAGTCAATGATTTACGTTTATCCGTTAACTACAAAAGCCTACGCGAGTGGCTAAATAATTTTTATTACGAGTTGTCTCCCCTTCTATGCGGCTGTTAAGAAAACGATGGATCCAGACACATTTTTTTTGCTGTACTTTTTGAAATTAAACTACGCAAAAGTGTTTACCGAGTTATCAAATTTATAACAACATTTACATGAAAATGCGAAAGAAGATTATTTTGTGGGATTCA